TAAACACTTTTTCTCAACATGCTTTTCGCACACCAAGTTAGCACAACCAGGAAATGACTAAAACTAATTCACTTCTAGTATAGGGAAAAGTGATTTAATTAGATAAGCATGTTTGAAAAATTTAAATGAACTTCCATGAAGATTAGGATCATAAATGAAAAATGCGTTTTTGCTCTAAAAAAATATCATTAAAGAATAACCCTAAGCAATTTGCTCCTGCAAATTAAACCAGTGGGTTTCATCATATGATATGTTGAAACAAATATTTTTGAAGATTAATGAAATCTAACAGAATACTATAGCTGGAAAAGCATTAAAAGGGTTAGTGTAATTGTTGCCTATTTTAAAAAAAAACTCAAATTTCAGACCAACAAAACTGATTTACTGGTGTTTTGTTTTCATTTGTAATTTTTGCAACTCTCAACTTACTAACCAATGATGATGTGTAGTTAAAACTTTCGTTAGGTTTACTCCTTCTGCTTTTACAGCTGCTAGTACTGTATCAGGTTCAACAGGATCAACAACTGCTGCTTGCTTTGTATTTTCATCTGTGATCTGAAATTTCAAAACCAAATCTTGAATGAAAACTCTAAATAGACAGAAATAAATTAATCAATACAGAATCTGCTGAAGTGTAATTAACTGCAAACTGAAAAGTTTAGCCCTCAAAAAACATTGGGTATCATAAATCACTGAAGATTCCAATTTTCAAAACAGCTGTTTCAGAAAGTGACTTCTTTCAATTCTCAAAACACAAAATATTCACCTGTAAGTAAGAAGCTTCCCTGTCAGAGGAACTATACCTATTTTCATCTGAGGTGATAACATAAAGGGGTTACTTTCTGAAACGTTAGTCATTTTGAATTAGCTAGGTAACATATTATTTTTTCAATCAGATAAAAAGGTCAATTCAAACAGCACACTGTTTCACTTACTTTTTGGGGGCGGGGAANCTCAAATCATTTTATAAACTACTGAAAAAATAGTCAAGAATGCCTACGCTTCTTTCAAAATATCTATGAAAGCTTATGTTCAGTATGCCAGGAATTCTTGAAAGTTTTGTCTTATTCGGGGCTTGAACGTTCGATTGTCACTTGCTATCGTCCAACCGGTGTTAGGAATCCCACGTAAAAAGGTAAGACCTCGTTAGTGCTTAGCTCGCATATGTTTTGACTTCTGAGGGTTGTCGTTCGTAGGGGGTGTCAGCTGGTTAACGGAAAAACAAATTTTGAACAGATTTAAGCAGAGATTGACTAGAGAGCATAAGTATCTGAAATGCAAATTTCGAAACTTTATAATTGACATAATAGTCAATTATGCCAATTGTGTTCTTAATGAAACTAACTTTATGACTGAACTTTGAATAAAACATTTTATTTCATGGGATTCAAAATGATTAATAAATCCATTGAGTAATAAATCCATCGACTTAATTGACCATACAACTGCTGAAAAATTGGTTGTTTTCAAAGTTTGTGATTATGGGTTAACATTCTACTCCATTAAATGTATTCATCGAATGTTGATTTGAGACCAGCTTAAAATTTGACGACTTTCTGTAAGGGCCTTTGGAGTATACTTACCAAATACATATAATTATCAGAAAGAGCAGGCAAAATTGTCACCTTCATTTTGTCCAATTTCAAAACAACTTGAGAGCTGTGTGATCCTCTGAATCCGTTTTTACTTAATGCTGATACTGCAAAATATAAGTCAAGTAAGACTCATTTTCCTTGATATCAAAAATATATATAAATCAACCAAGATTGCTTTAGTACCTACCTCGAAAAAAAGCAGAGGTGAGACCTTGAACTACTCTGTTAGGTAAGTATGTAATTAAAAAACTTTGCATTATAGAAACTCATTGAAACTGTCAGACCTGCTAAAACATTAACATAATTTAAATTATCGGCTCACCTTGATTTTTCAAAGTAAATGTTGACTCTACCTAAATCTAAACACAGAAATTTGTTTACTCTTCTGAGACCTTAGACCTAACCACAGAGGAGTAAACAATCAGAAAAGATAACGGAGCACGTCAACTACGACTCTGCCAGTTTCGGTGACATTCACAATTTTGTGAAGACGAAACAATGCAACAAGGTGTCGATATCAAAGGGCCAGGTGGGGTTCGGAGCAATAAATAACTTGAAGTTTGAGTGAAAATATCGTATCTCGACAGTAGAAAGCTTATAAGCAATACTGTGGTATTTCCGTCATTGCATTGAACCTCTTACAATTCTGTCAGCCTCATACAGTACCAAATCTGTGACACAGATAACTTATCCTTCTATAGATAGTCAAATTTTCCAAAGCGGTGTGTTCTATGTCGTTTATTTGTTTCAACCAATGTGAAATTCGCCCTGAGACGAAAGAAATGCACTACACCATGCTAGTGGTGGTCATTCTTACCTAATCGCAAATTATTGAGAAAATGTAAAGCGAGTTCTTAAATTCGTCAAGGATCAATTGAAAACTAACTGATCAGAGATAATACGTTCCTCTTGCTTTGGTACTTGGTACCTTAGGTATTGCACTGCCCGTTCGATCGGGAGTCAACTCGATTGCAGCTCTGATGAAGCCATTACACACAGAAATCATAATGCACGACGTAAAACATCGTGACGTATCCGACCGACGTTGAGTGTATGAATGACGTAAATGCCAAGACGAGCATCTCTTCATCTTTTTATAGTTGTTGAAGCAAATAATGTTCTTTTATTACGTCACTGCCATTACCTTAACCACAGAATAGTAAACTGTGCCTTAACCATACCACTGTTCAAAATTTTTCAATCTGAGATGACTTAACCTAAAGTGTGGAAATTATTTATTTTCATAAGACATTTTCTCTATATTTGAAAATGTTTAGTTATCTAGGTGTTACTAAAGTTCATATTTTTCAAATGTTATAAACTAACGAATTGTAGATATGATTCGTAGACTTCTAAACAGTGTTTTTGAAACAGTATCCTCTGCAGAGCCCTTGAATTATTACAACCCTTTCACAAGGAAAGAAACGATACCTTTCGGTTGGCTAACTGATGTTGCACCATGTTTTCCAGTTAATGCTAATAGTATTAAAATTATCACAGATCCTGATACATTTTACAAAACACTACTAGATGGTTGCAGCTTTGCTAAAGAACGTATAACATTAGTAAGTCTCTATCTCGGAAATGGTAACCTAGAGGAAAAACTTGTCAATTCGGTGAAGGACAATGAGTACTTCAGAAGTAATAAATTGAATGTTAGAGTCTTGCTTGACTATACTAGAGGAAGCCGATTTGAATATAATTCTAGAGTTATGTTACAGCCCTTACTGCTCCAAAACAATCAGAATTGTAGAGTATCTCTTTATCACACGCCAGAGTTACGTGGTTTGTTGAAGAAATACATGCCAAATCGTTGGAATGAGTTGTTGGGTTTACAACATATGAAACTGTACATTTTTGATGATAAACTTATTATTAGTGGTGCTAACCTATCTAATGATTATTTTACTAACCGACAGGATAGGTATTTTGTTATTGATGATAAGCCGCTATGTGACTTTTATTGTGGACTAATAGATCAAGTTCAGAAATTCAGTTTACAGATGGATAAAAACAATAAAGTCCAGTTACATTCAAATTGGAAATTGTCACCATATGAAGGCAATAAAAGAGAATTTGTAACACAAGCTGGAGATATAATTGAACAGTATTTTGTAGATGTAATGAACAGTCAAAATGTCCATAAACAAGAAGGATTTGGTAGGTAGGATGCTTTTTAAAAGAATCAATTATAAGTTTTTCAATTTCAATATTTTTATATTTTAAATGTGGTTACCTACTTCTTTTTGACCATTATGAATGGAATTGATTATTTTTCAATACTTGATTTGAAGCTTTACTGTTTTTTTGTTCTAATAGAATATCAGATCAATGTTTATAAACCAGTTTCAATGCTATTTGTACTTTTTGATGTCTGTAACATCAGCAACTTTGTAATTACTACCACAGTCCAATGCAAATAACTTTCAATAATATGAACGTAATAAGTATTATTCTATACAGGGAGCTCATGTAAGATATTCCCTTTCAAAGAAAAACTATTAAATGTATGAATTTCAATCAAGATCATTGTTTTTAAATTCGAGAGGTAGTTTTATCGGACAAACCCTGGTTATGCTTGGTTCTACCCCTTTTTTATCTGTATGACGGTTTAGTGCAGTTCAATGATGAGGTGAAAAATAATTCGCTGTTGAAGTCTGTGGTACGGTGATTATCTTCCGAGAGGATTGAACCAATTCTGCTTTTACATTCGGAGGTTGAGCTGACCCTTAAATTTCCTTGAAGTCAGGAATTGAGCAAAAATGAATTCGGTTTCTTCGATTTATATCACCATCTTGTGTTTCAACCAAATAACTGTCCAGGGGTCCACCATTCTTGATTACTTCCCCTGGAATCCATTTTCTCAGAGCCTGCTGTATCATAACTGGTTGTGTTGATAGGAGCACCACTGTTTTCTTGGACATATTATAATGTAAAGCTGTTTGATCCTGATTGGATTAAGTATTTCAACATGATATTCAAAGATACTTCGTACTGGAATCTCTGGCATAAAATGAATCTATCGAAAACACTTTCCCAACACCAGAACAAAAATTACAGTCTCTCGACGCGTGTTTCACTAACCAAGTTAGCGTCCTCAGGAGATCATTATGATTCCTCATAATGACAAGGATTTTGGTTCTTTCAGTTCATATTCTATATTTTTGCCTTTTCTTTCTGATCTGATCCTTATTCTGTCTACTATTTGAAGTTCCAACTGATATATCTTTTACTTGTTTCCATGACTCTTTAAAATCCCTAAATCACTATCAGCCGCTTTCTGACAACAGGTGAAAAATAAGAACCAGTTTCATTTTTATATGGTTAAAAATAGTTATTTTCAGCTAATTGAAGATTATTTCTATAATTAGAAAATCGCCTTCTTCAGTAAAATTTAACGTTTTATAAATATCGAGACCATAATCTCCCAAAACATGCGAGAAGGTTGCTTTTTGTTCAGCTACTGCTACTGTCTAGTAAAGTTCTGTGTGTTTGTCTACATTTTTTCCATGCATTTGCTGAATCTGTTTCTGCTTCAAATGCTACCGGATGTTGTAAACTTCCCAAGTTGGATTTAAACTATTATGGTTATACTCCAATTTTATTCTTTTACCGCTGCCACCATGAAACACAAGCAACTTTGTATGCAATTACTATCACAGTCCAATGCAACTAACTTTTAATAATATGAATGTACAAAGTTCTACCTGTCATTGACAGTCGTCTGTCATCAGTATAATTCTATACACAGAGTTCATGTAACAATGTCCCTATTGATATTCCATGTCATCACCATTATTTACTAGCAAAAATTTTGATTGATCATGCTATCTTGAAAAGTTATGGAAAAATCGATTACAGACAATCTGAAAATTCCAATATATGAAGTATTTCACAATAGTCAGTGCCCCCTGGCAATTGACTATCAAGATGTATTTTGCCTTGAGATATTTTTTTGAAAGATTATTGGGTGATTGCTTAACACTAACACCACAAAGTACACAAATTTATAATATTCAGGAATGTTTTGGATTTTCGAAAATATAATTTCAATGTAAACTTAGTACGCTGTTGTAATTTCCTTTTGATTAATGCTTGCACTGATATCAATGGGAAAATGATATTTCTCCTAACAAAAAAAAAACATCAATGTTCAAGCGAACAGCTTAAAACATTTATTTGTCAACAAATATCAGTATTATCCTGAGAAAAGGGCAGGGGGTATGTCGAATAAGCGTCACTATTTTGCTGCTCTCAAACAATCCAGTAAACGTAAACCCAGGGGGAAAATAAAACTACTTGTGAAAACATTTGGATAAACGACAAATATAATATTGATAGTTGTTTGTTTTTAGATACTTGGATTTTTCCCTTGATTCAAATAGGACAGTTAGGTGTAGAACAAGATGCACAAATAACTGACAGGATTTTTGCTGAAGCTCCTGATGGTGGTAAGCTGAAAATAGCAACCGGTTATTTCAATTTAACGAATCAGTATATGAATACTTTGATCCTGAGGTGTCGAGCACATTGTGATATTCTCATGGCACATCCAAAGGTTGGTTAGAGATGATTCATTTATTGCCCAGCATATTTCACCATTTACAGGATACAAAGTAAAACATCAGTTTAATAATAAATTAATGATAACAGTAATCATAATAGTAACAAAATTTTCGAAAGTGAAAAAAGTGAGAACAGTAATTGATGACTAGTACCAGCAGGGGTAACAACAATAATAAAAATCAGTTTCAACATTTTAGTAGTCACATTGCCTATGTGTCAGACTGATCTCCAATAAATTCATTATTTTTTGATGCAATAATCTTTTACAGTTCGGTCACAGTTTGGGCTTTTAGAATAAGTTATTCATCTACTAAATAAAGCAATACTAATTGGAAATGCTCATTTTTAATGTAATTAAATGCAAACAATCAAAATGAGAAATGTTTTGAATTTTAGGACTTGAACTTTCAGTTACAAAAAAATTAACATTATAGAATTTAACGAACCAGTTTTTTATTATTATTCCCTAAACAAAAGTAGTAAATACTGATTTGAACTCTGTTTATCATTTTCAGAGCAGTATTGTCAAATATCTATATTTTGCATATTTTTGTTTGTCTTCTAATCTCAATATACTCATTTATTTTCAGAAAAATCACTTTCACCCCTATCCTAAATGTTTTTCTCTGTTTCACTACCTTTTAAATCTACTTATTCGGGATCAGATTCCTCATCAGCAGATTCACATTTCTACTTATTAACACTAATCACTTTTTTTTTTCTTTCTTGGAATAACTTATATCTCAAAACAATGTGCCTTTTTCCTGAAGTACAAAAAATCACTCACTAGAAGCGCTAGTAGTTCGGTAGGGATAAACACTGCCTAATCCTCATATAAAGTATGGTAAAGTACAATTAAAAAAGAATGTTTTTAACAGAAGAAGATGTTCCTGGAGCACAACTAAAATTTAAACACTGTTTTAAATGTGAATAGTTTGTTTGTCCCTACTACTAGTGCTGCCTCTCGTGACACGTTCGCTGTACTATTCTCAGGAAAAAGGCTCATTACAATAAGATTGGTTTTGGCTGTAGTCAGTAGAATACAAACACACCACTGGTAAAACTGATCTTGGAACGTCATAAGAAATAGTTGGGTACTAAACACAAGAGCCTACTGTTACTTATTTTATTTGTATTTTTTTATATCAGTTAATTGTTCATCACTATGTATAAGTTGTTTGATAAATATCATAGGTTGTTGGAGAATTAGACAGATGAAAAAATAATAACTGTCAAGAAAAGTCATTAAAGGCGAAATTGTTTGAATTCGTTTTTAATTAGATTGAGTATTTTACACCTACAATCGAGTTTTCATAAAATCATGAATAGAGTGACAACCTTTTTATTTTCAATTCATTATGCTAATTTAATTTCAACAGTTTATATCTATTCATTGTATTGTATTCAATTCATTATGCTTGTATAGAGTAAGTACTCTTACATACATATTTTTTAGTTTAGTCATAGTTTAGAATTTGGCAATATCACGCACAAGAAACATTTTTTTGAAAATGTTGCTTCTGTGATGTCTACATTTATTTACCGAATCTCTGTTATATACATGTAGTCAATATGGTGTATAATTTTTTTTCACTGTAGTGTGCGCTGGTCAGGCCCTATCCCCCGAAGCCCCGATACATTCGGGAGGGCGCGCCAGCATTATAAACCAATGACCACTCCCCACACCGTGGGGTAAGTGATCATTGGGTCCGAGAATCATGTGCCCTGAGCAAGCGCAGTGAGCCAAGAATGACAGCCTTCTGCATCTGTGCGGCTAAGATTTCTGCCTTAGTGCAGCAAGCCGGTATGATTTTAAGATTCGAGAGTAGAAAGGACATCATTCCACCAAGGACTCCAATAATCAGAACAATCATCTTGACAGAGTGATCTGGATAGAGTCTGCGGAGTTCGAAGAGAAAATCTCAATATTTTATCCGTTTTTTCTCCTCTTTTCTGACGATATTCGTCTCGCCAGGAGCTGAAAACTCCACGACAAATATCGTTTTGGTTTGGTGGTCGAGAAGGACTACATCAGGCTTATTAGCTTGTATGAGCCTGAGGGTGGGAAACGAATAGTTCCAATAAATTCGGCACTTCTCGTTCCCCACAACGGATTCAATATCCCCCGGAGCGTAGGGCAATACCGGTGTCTCGTCAATACCGTAAGAGTGCCGTATATGGTAATATAGCACTCTTAGAGCCGCGTTATGTCGATGAATATAGGCCGAGACCGTATATGGTGGACATGCTGATAGCAAGTGCATTAGGGTAACGGGCGTCTAGAGGCAGGAACCTCGTGTCAGGGACATCTATACCCATCACGCGACTGCGGTAGACTAAGGTGTTGAAGACACCATCCTGGCAAGCCATGATGAACCTCTCAGTTTCCGACTTCAGCCCACTCGACCTGAGAAAAGCGATCGTCAGGCGCTTTGATAAGCCAATGTTATTGAAGAAGACCCCATGCATTGGCTTATCCTTGTGTCTCCTCAGAAGTTAAGTGATCTCTGCGGCTTTTATCTGAGCTTTTTGCTGAACGGGTTCCAACTCGGTGACAGAGTTGTGGTCACCTCGTTCAGAGTCGAAAAATATAAATATTATTATTATTGACCTGGTCTGATGAAACTTGTGAAACTTTTGCAAGGTTAAGGTATTGGCCCAGAAAAAGAAAAACTTGATCATTAACTGTTAAAAAAAATCAAAAAGTTGTACTGAAGAAAGTTGCATAATATATACATTTCATTTTATAATTCAGATAGTATTATCAATTTTGATCAAGTAATAGGCTAGTATATTTATAAATTGCATTATTCTTGTCAACAAAGTGCATTTTTTAATCTGCTTCAAGGCTAATGGATTTTATGGTGCTAAAGGACCAGCAGGAGGAATTCCGTATGCCTACTCACTGATTGCTAAAGAGTTCAAAGAGAAATATTCTAAAAAAGGACAGCAACATCGAATCAAACTGTTTGAATACCTTCGAAGTGGTTGGACTTATCATGCAAAAGGTTTATGGTAGGTTAAAAAATACGGCAGTTGAATGTAATTACAATGCAATTCCAATTTCAGGATAATGATTACACAGGTTAAATTGTAACGGGGGATATTTTTTAGAAGAGAATAATTTTTGGGTGAAAATCTTTTTGGCTTCCTACTTTGTCCCTTTATACAAGAAATTCTAGAAAATGAGTTTATTTTGAACTCGATAGTTTTCTTTCTTTCTTCTTCATTAATTCAAATTTTTAACTGGGGTCTGCAATCTCGACCTTCATTTTTATACAAAATAATATGGGAAATTTCCTATAAAATACATTTCTTACTATTCTCTCTAAGTAACAATTGACATTTTTGCCAAAGCACGACATTTTGGTTCTTAGTTCCTTGTGTTGAATTTATTTATTTTTATCCTTTCTCTTCACGATATCGTCTACTTTTTAAAACATTTCTTTAAATATTTCAAATTTTTAATAGACACTTTTTCCACTTTATGAACAGTTGAGTGACCAAAATGTTGTAACAGCACTGTGAAATGTAGCTTTCCAAATAAAAAAAAAGTAGTAAATTTCATGTTCCTTTTTTGTGTGAACACCTTTAAATAACAACTTGATCCTGTTCATGCATATTTTTAGTTTTATAAATGTAAGAATTCCGTGTGAATGAAATGGGAATAAATAATATGTTTGCACAAAAAACGTTCCCAAACTTGAATTCTTGCCCACTCTATTGGAATGATAATAAACCCTAAAATAATGTTTTTTAAAGGTATTACCAACCAGGTGAGGAATTGCCATCCTTGACTCTGATTGGATCTCCAAATTTTGGGCATAGATCAGTTAGTAAAGATTTGGAATCACAGTTGGCTATAATTGCGGAAAATGAAGATTTGAGAAAAAGTCTCCATGAAGAATGCTCCAACTTGTATGAATTAGCATCTCCAGCTGAAACTGAAAGGCGAATTCCTGCATGGGTATATGCATATGTGACTCTATTCCGAAGTTATTTTTAAATCCACGCAAATTATTTGTAAGGCAACAGTTATTTATTACAGAGAATTGTTTATAAAAATTTATAGCTAGTAATTGCAATATATTACTGAAGATCTCAAATTATAAATATCAATAATGAATGTTTCAATATAAATTCCACCATCATTAGAAAAGTGATTACTTAATTCCTGTTGATAACAAATGAGACAAACATTTGTGTGCTGATTTTGAAATACAATTTTGTCAGTCTTTTTAAAATAAATTCTTCAAGCGTTTCAGTGCATTATTTTTCATAGAAACAAAATTAAAATTAATCAATAATTGATTTAAAAATATATGCTTTGAAAACTGTGTAAATTTTAATGTACCAAAAGAGTAGTTTTTACATTTATTGACCCTTGAGACAGACCAAATATACGCTGGCTTGATGCACAGATAAATGCACACTCCAATTATAAAATACAGTGTGACCCATTTTTAATGGAAACACCCCCCCCCCCTAAAATTTGAAGTTGTAAATCGATTTTAATATTTTTTTTTTAAATGTCAAGTACTAAAAGGTCTACCTTGGGACAAAATTTGAAATGTTTATTAAAGTTTCAGGGCATACTACGATATTTTTTCTTAGTCGAAAATCGGGATTTTTTTATTGAAATAATCACTACGCCACTGGATTCAGAGTGCCTCTAAATCCATTGATACAGACATTTCTGATATTTGATATAGGTCTGAATTGATGTCATCAGCAAATATTTGCCATTTCCCAAATAAATTCACTGTAGCCAAAGATTTGAGATATATAATTAACAAAACAGGTCCCAGTATTGATCCTTGCGTTACTCCGCATATTATTTTTCAACTAATTATGTCGCCTATGTAGACACATCGCTTCCTATTGAAACCAATTATAAAGTCATCCTCGGATACCTCTGGAATAATAATTAGTTTCAGTGGCTTTTTTTGGGATATACTAGAAAAATGTTCTTTTCTGATGAACTATCTGTAGTCGGAGTAATGAAGGTTGGCTGAACAAAAAATCATTTTCAAATCGAAATTTCTATTATTTTCATTTCTCACAATGCAGTTGCCGAAGCAAATAGTAGTGGTGGTTCAAACAACTGAATATAACAAATATGGAATAAAGAAACTTTTTAACAGTTCAAAACTATTTCACATTTCAATATCATTGTTTCTACCTGAGTGTAAAAAAATACATTTATTTTCTTTGTGAAAAAGTGATATTTGTGTTCCTCAGTAAGGCGATCTGTGGGTTTTCATCATTTGTGTAAATATCAATCATCAACTAGTACTTTCTTTGGTAGGCTTTGCTTATTTTTAAATTTATGACTAGTTATATCACACAAAAAAATGGTTCAAACTTCACTTACATCCGTATTTTCATTTCTCTCGTTTCCCATAATTTTAAAATGTAAGCAAAGTCCAAATTACATTCCAAACTAGAGTAACATGTAACTCAGGAAATCTTGATCTAACCTCAAGTTTGGATGAATTACAATAACGGACTTTCATAATAAAGTTTCAGATTCGCAGAAATTATTGTCAATGAATATTTATGGAATTATTGCGAATATGGAGTGTGGAATACTATTTAAAAAAACTAGATTCACAGATTGAGTGAAATAAAAATAGGAACTATCTGACGCTTTCGTTGAAACTTCACGTCAAAAATGAATGCATTGACGTTGACAATAATTTCTTGAAACTAACGTACAACTAAAATATACAAAAAACGCTTTCATTTCAGTCTTTGGTATGAATAAATAAATAAATTATATACAGAAACAATATATACATGAGTTGTCTCAACACCTGACCAGTTGAGAACAAAAAAAGACATTTCTGTGACAATCAAACAACCATGATATTTGAGCCTTAACAGTAAATCAGTACAAAACTTCTTCAGTAGACCAGCACTCAGTTACCCTGCACTAATTGTTCGAATAAAACTTGTTAAGGGTGCAATATATTTGTGTGCAAAAATAATCGAAGGAAAATTAGATGGAGAATTAGAAAATTTCAGAGAGCACGAATTTTCAGAGTTGAAGAAAAGGGCTACTAAGTACTGATCCTCAGCATATTTACATAAATAATACAAATATTATTTCCTCACAAGATGGGCTATACCCCAAACTTATTAAACATCACATATTGACTATTCACTCCATCGCCCAAATTTTCGATGGAGTCTTCCGAAGGGTTCATGACATTGAAAAGTATAGCGAAAATGGTGCATGCTGCATAAACACCTAGAGCTATCCACCAAAGCAACTGCTCGTGTAATTTCTGTTCGAAATTCTTCAGGACAAGTAACCCAATTGTTAGGCCGGCTAGGGCTCCGGTGAGATGGGCAACGTACGATACTGGTAAACCTATCACTTCCTCTGCGTACCTGGAGTATATGGCATATCCCACATCACATGAGGCTGAAAGAAAAAAAATAATTAGTCAGATTCTCAGGTGCCATATACCAAATTATTGAGAGTTATCAGAAGTATTATCCAAAAGGCTCAATGCAGATATATATTTGATGACTTAAAATAACCCTTTGTACCTATTCGATTATCATCGAGTTCTGTATATAGGCGCGAATGCGCAGTAGTACTAACTTTAAGGAAATATACATACTTTTATAACAATAAAATATTGTGTGAAAACTTTTTAAATCATCAATCAAACGGTTTCATTCAGCTTATCCTGTTTGTTTGTTCGTTTCAAATTACGAGAAATCATCCAAATATTCCAATTGGATTATTAAAATGTATCAGATCTGACATCAATGTATGAAATCTGTCAACAAAAGTTTTTTAACGGAGTCTGGTTTTCGATTATAATTTATGGGCAGACTAATGACGTCAACAAATCAGAAAGCGTTTCGATGAGACAAAAATTTGAAAGGATTAGATTGAAGTGAGTAGATTTTTGATTGAAAAAAACGAGTGAACATGTAATGATAAATATGTGGGTTTTGTTGGCATAAGGCGAAAATAGTAAAACAGTCTCAAGTAGACTACTTTTTAGAAATGAAATTTTGTAGAATTTTCAATGAGGATGGAGAAAGCTAGGTTGTAGCACGTTCCTATATACACCTCGATATATTAGTGTTACGCTGCAGCTGTGCCTATTTTGGTAAATGAAATACTAGACATATTCAAATCAACTTGAGGCTATAATGCAACTCACCAATAGCGAAAATTCCGAAAAGCCTCAATATGCCACACTGCATATTGTTATAATTGAGTAGTACATTGGCTAAATGAGCAGCTAGTAGAGCATATACTCCCCCAGAAGCTCCTACGAGGTAGACATCGTTATCGAATACTGATGTGCCCAACGAACCTGCTATTACTCCAGCCATATAGATAAGAAAGACTCTCCCGGAACCGTGGACCATTTCTAATGGTAGACCTACTAACAGTTGAACTACCAAGTTGAATCCAAGATGGAGCCATCTGTAAATACAAAAAGATAAGTTAGCAATATTTGATTTGCATCCCTATATTCATTGCAGCTCCAGAACAATAAAATATAATTCCTTCGAGATTGTGACTCATTTAATGAATCAATTTTATCATATCATAAATTCGATAAAAACTATTAAAAAAAGACATTGTGGAAAATATGATTTACTATTCGTTATTCCATAATATTAACTACTTTACACGAAAGCCCCATTTAAGCCTTATCTTGAGCTTTCGGTACAAATACAGGGTATTTCGAAATGAATATTTTTTCTGAAACAGAATGACCCCCTTATTTTTCAGTAATCTATCATCCGTTACCTTGTATACTGTAAATTGATGATAGATATATGTGTTGGTGTCCAAAAAGTCGGTTCTCCAAATATATGGATATCAGTGTGCTGGTAATGAATGAATTATATTGAAATAATTCATAGTAATAACCCACAGCTTGCCAAACAGGGCATTATGCATTACAATAAGTTTTTGTTGAAGTTCGGTTTATCTGCTTTGGTATAAGAACAGCTAGTTGACACACTTTCAATTTCCTTTGGTTACAGCTAACTCATTCATAGAAAAAAGCTTGAGTGATTTAGTGATACAGAACATCAGAACTTTTGCTCAAATTGAAAGGGTAGGTATACTTTTAGTTTTAGGAGAGAATAATCATTGGGAAAGAAAGTTTTTGCCCTTCTACTTCCCCATCTTGATAGATTTGTTCATTGAATTTGGACAATATCGGATTACTTGAATTAGCTATAATAAATCCCGAAGTGAATGCGGAAGATTCTCACATTTTTTGCATCAAGATGGAGAAATAGAAGGCCAAAAACTTTCTTACCCAGTCATTACTTTATATCGATCAGCTATAAATAAAACAAGAGTCTACTGCTACAAAAATTGAAACATCTGAAAAATATTTTTGAGTAAGTCAGGTTAGGTTCGATTAAGTTAGGTTAATTTTACTTGAAACGACCTTTTGAACACGTGACAGTGCTGAATCGTAGTAGGTAGTTCTGCCTAGTTATTCGGGGTTAGTCTCAATTATTTACTGCATTGGGGCGCTGTATGGTAGTATGCTATGTAAAAAAAACTTTTCCAATACGCAGGCCATTGATGTACTGTAGAAAAAAAGGTAAGAAACCAGAATCTTGTGGAACAAAAGCATTGATGACAAAAGAAGTAAGAAGGAAAACCATCGATCCCAATCTTTATGTATAGTGTTTATTAGAATTTTTTTCAACATCCGAAAATTCATAAAAAGATACCTACATAAAAAAAAAGATAATACACGAAATTGCAATTTAATCTGCTATGAAAAATGAATATGATCGGTTGTCGATAATCTGATTAAATTAAATTCTCACCATATATCATTAACAGAATTGTTGCTGGTTCATGTTGTTTGGCACTTTTCCAATTACGATTCGCTTTCGAGGTCGAAGATGAGATGAATCGCTCGACTTGATTAAGTACCACCTATTATTTAATAAGCATAATCTCTTTCAAAGTGAACACAGGAAGTCGCGTTCAATTTTTTAATGACAGGATGGTCCTAGTTTACCCAATTCGAACATTGAAATTGTACTTCATCTGTGCCACGGTGTACCGCGTATCACATTCGTATTGTCATTATTAACAAATTATTAGGTTTTGAATGAATGACATATTATTGGCGGACTTCCAGATTTTGTGAAAATGATACAGTTTTTTAAAGTTGGCGACTTTACAAACTAGTTATATGGTTCCGCATTCACTTCGGGATTTATTATAGCTAATTCGAGTAATCGGATATTGTTCAAAATTTGATAAACAACTGATGGAAACAGTATTGTCAGTATTTAGCTGTACGGAAATTGACAAAACAATGAAGAAAAAATGTATGATATGATACCCATCATTTCTTCAATACATACAAAATTTCTCTGAATTCCTTGCTCATTCAGGAAAATAATTATGACTAATCACAATATATGGATTGTCTCAGTGAACTAGGATACTTCAAATTTCATATAAAAATACTACGAAGTTGACTCATTTACCTTTTTTATTGAGAAGAAATCCCACACAAGATTATAATGAAATGTTTCCAGGCGATAAATTCTCGAAAAATTCCTACAAAATTGACCAAGATTATCAATAAGTATGTAATGTTGAAAATTTCCGATTTTATTCCAAAAAGGCATGAAATAATATAGATAATCAATATCAACGATAATTCTCAGCTGAAATCGCAACCTATGTTTTGAATATCTCTGTGGAGTTTTCAATACGGTGCTGAAAACATCATTCGAACAAAGCGATTTTTCATTTTCCGAATTGTTAAGTTAAATTCATCATAAAAATGAAAGGAATCAATAAGAACCTGAGAAGCACAGAAACTATTAGGTATATATAATTCTTACTTTTTTTATTTTTTCTTTTAGCAGATGGTTTTCAATTATCTTCATTTGTGTAAGAAAGATTTTTCAAAGCTGCGATTTAATCATTTATTCATCTCGCCTTTAGTAAAATAGTTTAGGCACAAACTGATGGTGGAACGAAGATATAAATAATTTTGCTGAAACCATTTATACTCATATAGTTCTCGTAATTCTCCATAAATAAAGAATTTTGAAAATCAATGCCGTTACAATCGCTCAAGTTTATCTTGTCCTCATTTTTCATAGTTTTCACAAAACAAAATTCGTAGTTCCATATCCGTCAACGTTGGAAAAATGTTAAACAAAACATGAAATTATCTAAGTTATTTAAAGTCATTAGACATTATATACATCTTACCCTGCATGTAGCATCATGTACAGAAGAAACCTCCATATTTCTGATCTTTTGTCTGGCCTATATATGAAAATTGAGTCGATGGGTACTGGTCCTGTCGGATTTAGTTCGCCGGTTGTGATGGAGTAGTACAAAAAGAATCCTAGCTGAAAAAAAAATGTTTCGATAATGGGTTGTGTGTGGAAAAGGTCCAACATGAAAAAACAAACGATATATAATACCAGAACCATATGACGGTGGTAATCAGACAAGTATTCGTACCAATGTTTGGTCAAGCCCTCAATAAAAACGATATCAAGGTATATTTTTCCATTTCAAAGTCGCCTGCTTTTTGTTTAACATTTACAAAATATCACATGAGTCGCACTACTCTTGAAAAGATTGGATTTCACTTAATTGAAACATTTTCATTTGAATTGGACACCTCTGGACTCTCTAGAGAATTCCTGTATTCAAACAAAAAGAAAGGTTGGCATTGAATTTTATCATAGATTGTAGAAGCTTGTACAATTGTAACCTAAAATTTAAAATATCTTGTATGACATAAACGACAAATTGAAAATACAAAATTATTTCTCACATTGGAAATAAGGAGTGGTATAAGTACTATATTACTGGAAAAAAGTTATTTTTCTCTTTCTGTTGATCTAGATAAGTATATAAAGAGAAAGTGCAAACAGGAGGTCGTTTCGAAGAAAAACCAAATTTCAGTAAAAGATCAGTGTAAAAAATAGTGCAGTCCAAAATTGTAATCTTACATTTATTTTGTTAAAAAAATTGTCAATCAGGAAGGTAATTATAAATAAAATAGTAAATTAAATATAAATGCATCAGAACCTCTTAACAAAGTTGCCAAGTACAATTCGAATATTTCATTTTCATCCAGAGTGTGTGTTCAGATATACCGAAAACCGCATAATTGATGATTCTGAAATACGACCCGGAGTTAGCAGATAATTTTATAAAAAGTCAATGGATAAGGAGAATGAATCTTCTCGGTTCACTAAGCGATGCTAATCGGAGGCGCCATACAATTCGTTGAAACGTTATTCATGATTACAATAAACACAAAGGATCAAGCAACGTAAAAATCAACTTTACTAAAAAAAAAGTTCAATGACTCATGAAATAGGACTAGTTCTCGGTTCTCACGGTTCTTACTTCGGAATTAGTTGATGTCGCGTTTTTTTAAATGATATGCGTGGAAAAACCCAACATTCTGTCTGAAATCATATCGACAAACGTTTTGGAAATCGAACAATCTTATTTCTGAAAGAAATTGGAATACTATGAACCTCAAAACTTTTCATGGGGCCAGAGCGCTCAAATACAACTTCTGTCAAACCATTTTTTCAAACTACCCAAAACTACCTTTTGCTAGACAGCATTCCAAACGTTGGAATCAGGAATTCCAACATAAAAATATTGTGGAAATTATATGTTATAAAATTCCTATCCTGGTAATACATTGAATCACTTCTGTTGAGAAAGTTTTTTCCGAAAACAATAGAAATGCCATGGATACAGTTAGTCGATAATATACTTGACGCTTTATTTGATCACCTTCTTCCAAAGTTCAGACAACTTCATAATTCCATTTCATTAAAAATCGCAGTTTTCTTGATTCGAAACAAGTGAGAGTCTGAAGCCGCTATATCTGGACTATAAGCTGAATGTGGCACAAAACCTCTCATCCAAGTTCACTTATGAGTTTTTCGGAAAGTTTTTGCAATTGTTGACTGTAGGGAATATACTTGATTGTCCTCTCATCTTCCAGAAATTCGAAATGGATGACACTCAAAATATTCCATCAGACACACAGCATCATTTTTCTCTGCTCTTGCTCTGTGTTACGACCATGGTTGGTTAATATTCCACTTCTGATGATTGCATTTCTGACGCGATCTTCCAAAAAACAAGTCTCAATTGGAAAACTTTCCAAACCAACGACGAACAGTGCGGTAACTCACAGAATTCGGGAACACTTTTGAGGTGTTCTCATAAGTTTTGCCGGTTCTGAACTCATAGAGCATACAACGCCGCAAATGAGCTTTATCGTTGGACATATATTGAAAATCACATTTCAGTCTTAGATATGAATGAAATTAAATGATTATATTGACGAGTAGACAATTAATCCCAACACTTTTTCGGAAATAACAAACTAACGTAATGAGTTTTCAGAGATTTGGAACACTTGATACATGCAGAAACGTACATATATAAGTGTAAGTTACCTACACTTTGTAGAAAACTATCTCAAATGATGTTCAGGATTGTCTCACACAGTCCTTGATTTGTTTTTCCTAGATCGCCAAGCTACCGCTCTCTTTATATATTGCTCATATATTTAGCTCGAAGGTAAAATAAATAAAATAAAGTTTTAAGAATATCCGAAGTGTGACTAAAAATATGTAACAGACGACCCACCTAGTAAACTCAATAAAAAGTGGTTATTTACGTAACCGAATTGGAAAAAAGTCAGTTTTTCGACTAATGAACTAGTTAAGGATAGCTTATGTGATAGCTGAATGTACCACTTTCCAGTAAAGTAACAAACTTTTGATGCTTTATAAAGCTCAGATCAGACCTTCTTTGGAATATTGTTCTCATGTATGGAGCTCATTTGCAACTTTGATGGTCTGGAACATCGAAGAAAGGTTGGAGGTTTCTCTCTCACTTTTATTGATACTTTCATGGGAGGTGTTCAAGTGACTTGGCACGTTTGATTCCACCAAGAGCGGTACATATCAGAAATACGTGACGGACTGAGGCTGCTCATCGTTTTAAGGTTCAACTCAGTACACCTCGATCTTCACTGTTTAAGAACTCTTTCATTTGGAGAACTGTGTTTATGTGGAATGAACTTCTTGATAATGTTTTTCCAAATGAATTCAATATCCAGCGATTCAAATCCAATGTGAATTGCTAGTTTCGCACAGAGACCGCTTGTGTTTTGTCTTTCTAAAAACCAGAACTCTTTCTCTCGATGCACGTTTCGCTAGACAAGTTAACATCATCAGAAAAATACTTAAACATTGATAATAGATAAAACAGCGAACGAAATTCATTTATATGCGAGATTTATAACCTTCATGAAACTATATCTAGCGAAATCACTGCGATTATGCGACAAAAAACATTCTTGCAATGTATTATGAACTAGTTGAAACAATATACCCCATTCAAATCCAATGAATATATTATTATATCTACGTTCATAGGAAATGTTTGAATCACATATCTGATAGAATAGATTCACCATTTTACATATCATTGGTACAGTTGTTGGAAATTAATTTTGTTACTAAAGTGAAAGTAAATTACAATTCCCGAGACGTATATCGTATAAAATACCAGATAAGGGTATTTATACAAAAAATACACATAGACTCGGATTACATACAAATTACATAAAAATACACATGACGAACACACTGAAAGTCAAAACAATAAAATATTTTGAAAGTGAATCGAACACATATTCAAAAACTCGTCAATCGAAAGGTGCCCGAATAAAATTGATTCAATTTCCATTTTGAAATAGCCGGCATTAAAGTTTTTCACCTGTGGTGATTAGTTGAATGAATTCACTATCTCGAAGAGTTTTTGTCCGACATAACCATTCAATGTCTTGCTGATCTTACAAGTAATGTATCGTATTTTTCCCTCTAGATTTTCTAAAATTTAACATGCACTATTTATTCTTTTTGAAAAAGTGGATGAATTACGAATTAATAATTCTGATTACTTTCTTTTGTACATTAAAAATCCTATGAACATGACATGAGTTGTCTCACAATAGTAGATACATCCAAAGTGAATGGGTCCTCTCGACCCTCCACTGCAACCCGCGAGGGTTTATTGTGGCTCACACCTATTTAAACTCGACCAAAAAGATCCAGCTTCATAAAGAAGCCGATTACTTCACTTAGTGAGCGATTTTCAGGTCAGCTGGCAAGAGTGGGGCTCAACTGAATGCAGAAAACCAGATTCGATCTCGGCAGGGCAGACACAGAAGAGTGCTACATTGATAACATAGCATGAATTTCCTTGTTAAAATAATCCATTTCAAAGTTGAAAGACACGTGGAATGTTTTCCCCAATGTAGTTACAACCTGATCGGCAGTAAGTCTGCGACTATCTTCATCAGGCAAGTGAGCAACACAAATATAAGGCTTGAGAAATAGGTAACTTATGAAGCATTTAAGAAAGATCACCTCCAGTCACTGCAGGATACTAACTGCATCCATCATACAGGAGACGCTTCTCTGATCCTCTCAAGTAAGTAACCTTCCGCTTCGGAACCGTACTTGTGGAAAACTTCTCAATAGGTACTCGTAGTATGTCATATGTTAAAAAAGTACTTACACCCGAGAAAGTCCAAGCTGTCTAATAGTTTTATGTATAAAGAAAATAGGAGTGGCGCATTCAAAACCTATGTCGATATTAAGTGACCAGTTCAGTTTAACATCGATTACATAATTCAATAAAATAATATCATCGCTCTTAGTATTACTGGATTACTATTTTTACAAGAAGTACCCAGAACAAGTACTAGAGTTTATGTGTTGTATGAAAATAAACTCAAACTTTACACTGACCAAGAGCAATTCACTGAATACCCACCCATCTCTCCGTTGAAAAAACATTTCAACGTCGAATTACCAAATTGAACAAACATTTAATCAGGTCGTAAATAAAGGTGAGAACTTGCCGATTAGTTGTTTACTTAAATTTAAAAATAGTCTAAATTTATACTGGTTCATGTCATTAAGGTAAATTTCCGAACTCGAAGCATCTGCATAGGAAGTTATCAATCTCGAAGGTCGGCATTTCGGGGTTTCTGTAATCGTGGAAACACATGTTAGACTTTCGAGAGGGAAATAGGCACGCGCCAAGGTGTCTTATTTGAACGTACCCCGAATTTTAGTTTTTAATAGACTATACAGAAAGACCATTAAGGGGGAAACAGTCAAAACATTTTTATTGCCTTTTCGTTTCAGAAGTAAGAATACGCGTTTAAATATAGATATCTCTACGGAGTTCGGAGTTGCTCGAGTTAACTATTTTAAAAGGATCGTTATTAAATTTTGTTTACATTCACGGAACAATATATTTCGAATACACGTATGGTTTTCGTCATAACAAATGAACTTTATTTGAGAACACCAGCATGAAAATATCTTGATATTCAACAGTCAATTATGAAAAGCTAAAGCTATTAAATGTTTCATCATTAATAGATTATTCCCTGCAGGTAGATCTTATACAGGAGGGTTATTGTGGTGTTCCAATTATATATCTTGGAAATAGTTTTTTCTTTTTTGAAAAAGTGGAAACCTGGAATGTTCAGAAAAACAAATTTAAAATTTCGAAATTCATTTATATGTACAAGGAACCTTGATAAGCAAAAAAAAATTAGGATCGAAACAACTAGTTTTTAAAATAATAGGATAACTAAACATAAAGCGCCAACCAAAAAGCGTAAGACAATATATCCGGTAATCACGAATGTCTGGCATAGAAAATTGCAAATGGCATAGAATATCACACAATCAGGAAGAAAATTACTGATATTATATCGAAAAGAACTCTTTATAGATTAGTTTTTTTAAACTAAGGTGTAATTAAGTATCTTCTTCCCGATGTTTCACCTCTGTTCCCATATTATTGGTACTTTTTTAGCACTTTCAATATTCTTTTAGCCTTTAGAAACCCTTCTTCTTCACAGCATTTCAGAGGATTTCCTCCGTCTCTATCAGCATCTGCAGCTATTTTCTGCTTTCAAAACTTTTTTCATCTTTCAACCACTCCGATTTGTCCATTTCCTTTTCACTCTTATTATCTCTCTCTCTCTCTCTCTTATTATCTCTATCCCTCTCTTCCTGGAAAACGAAATGACGATTTTGTTCTGATGTCCTCTTTTTCTTTGTTTTCAAATACTCCTGGTATTTGCAAGAGAATCGAGCAGAAGTCAGTAGTTCAGCAGTAATAGACACCTGCTTCGGTTTTTCCCAATTTCTGGCAGAAGTGCCTACGATATATCTATCCTCGGTAACAACTTTTAACGAAGATATCAAAAGATCGCCGATTCAGATGACTTGTGATAATGAGATGATAAAAACTCTTGATCCTTTCTTCGTACTGACTTATCTTGCATATTTTGCAAATCAGTTCATTGCCAATCGTAGCGTGCGACAAGGCCGCAGGCAGGCAGCTGTTTTACATGGCATTCCAATGGAAATCGGAAATTCCTCTCAATATACACTCTTCGAATTCCAACTGGTTGTTTATAATCGCGCCGAAGACTGGAATCTACAAGATCCACTTCCTCTTAAACGTCCGAACAATTTATCGCCTTTCTTATTACCCTTATTAAAACTATAATTATTGCTCCGCGCGTACGGTTACGTAATATGCGGTTCCCGCATTTTTACTCTGTTTTTTGCTTTATTTTCTTCTAGTGCCAAGATTGAACCGAATGCACGGCATACTGTTGAGTATGAAAGCGAGCAGAGCATAAATATTAGTAATGCGATATTTGATATTTCGCCTTTTTTCGCCTCGTTACACATGCCAATAATATGTTTCGGAATGGCGGGAGAAGATTTAAAGCCTGCTGCCGACAATCACGATAATAGCTGGTTATAATACGGAGAAAATTCAAATCTATAATTCAGAAAACGAAATACTTCATCCTGGATACAGTAACGTTCTTATTGGTAAGATGATAATAAATATTTTAATGTTTATACTTCAACAATACTTGTTTAACATAATTATTTGTGTCAAATATCCTGTTTCATCAATTAACAACAATCGGTTGAGCCGATTGAACTCAGCCCACGAAACTTCGATCCAGTCGTGAGGGCGCGCCAGCATCATCAACCAATGACCACTCCCCATACCATAGGGTAAGTGATCATTGGGTCCGAGAATAGTGTGCCGTAAGCAGACGTAAAGAGCCAATAATGTCACCCTTCTGCATTCGTCCGACCAAGATTCCTGCCTTTGTGCATGACTGTTTATAATGAGTTTTTTGTACTGAAAAAATAAAGCTGAATGTTTATTCAAGAACACTAGAAATAATGAAAAATTGTTACATTGTAACAAAGATAATAATGCTATAACATACTTCCTTTTTTTTAACCTCAAAAAACTCAACATCACTTCTTAATGGAGATTGACGAAAAATTGATCGACAGCGAAAAAGTCCTTTGTCTGAGATATTCGAACATGAACAACTCTTAAGATTGTAGACAATTTCGTTGGTCAATCAAAATCCACTATGATGTGCACACACTGTGGACACTCATCAGTATACTTCGATCCTTTCTGAGATTTGTCCCTCCCCATACCACACAGAAATGGCCAATTGAGTTGGTCACAATGCTTGGATTCCTTCACAAGAGAGGAAACTCTGGATGGAGATGAAAAACCAACGTGTTCGAGGTGCAAGGAAAGAAGAAAATGCACGAAGTCCCTATCAATCCATAAGTTTCCACGTATTTTAGCAATTCATTTAAAAATAGAAGGATTATATATGAGCAATTATGCAGCAGACAATGTGGCTCGTTGTCGTTATAATATATATGCACTTTCGAATCACAGTGAGAGTACTTATAACGGGCAATACTCAGCATATTGCAGACAACCATATTGTGGCACGTGGCATGAATGCAACGATTTACACATGTCCCCAATTTCACCAAAATCGCTTGTAAGTGAGCAGGCATATGTCCTCTTTTATGAACAGGAGGGAACAAAGTAGTACCTTTGAGGTGTGTTTTTCCTTTTTTTTTATAAACTGAATTATATCAATTGATTTGTATTTCATGATTCTTCTGATTTGATTATTGTGAAAGTAAATACTTTCTAATTGCTTATATTAAGGGTTGAATTTCCAAAAAAAATTTGAAAATGTTTTGAACAAAGTATCGGTTATAAAACTGTTTCTGAAGAGTGAGAAATTCAAGGTTTTTAATTAAAAACTATAAGTACAGTTCCGGAAGCAAGAAATTTCTTGCTTTTCAAGGACCTTTCTTCAGATTTAAGATGTCACAAATATATAGTTTTTCTGATATTCCCAAAGAGTTTAAACCACTTTTCTTCTTGATTGTTCATAGGTAACTTTTGTAATTCAAACTTTTTAGATGCCATTCTGAATCTCATGACAACCTTAAACATAATTGTTGGTCTTTGGAGTTTGGGTTTTCGATAAAATAGCACTTATGAACCTAACTATGAATCTGAAATATTTCGAAACAAATTGTTTTTATAGACTGATTCCATTCTCAATCTATTAGCGAAAATTATAGACCAAATTTTTATTTATGGAACTTACCCTACTCAGGTGCCACTGACAAATGTACGAGTAGGTACTAATCAAAGCACCTCTGAGAACATTTATTATCCTGCTTTGTGCCAAACTCTCCGAAAACCATATTGTGTACATAAAATTCAACGCGGCCTCATCCGAACCTAATTTTACTGCACCTAAATCAAAAAGTAAATAAATAAAGCCGATAACGATCTCATTATTAAATTTAGATACCGAACTACTCAGATGTTCCTAAAGGTGGGTTTCGGTTCGTATGGCACGTGTGTTTGTGTTGCCGGCATCTCCGATTACACAGAGGGGGGAGGGAGCCTTTTTCCGTATTCTCGAAATAAATGAACCGCGTTTTTCGACACATTTACCCTAATTTAATGCGAAACAGGGGAGAGACCACGATAATACCCAGGATGGCTGGTGCGCACGCTGTACAGCTGTCGCATGAGATCTGCCTTCACGACTGACAAACAAGGAAGAACGAAATTCGAACGGAATTATTTTTATCTTCAACGTTGATGACCTGTGATCCTCAATTTAGGATTTCTATATTTCGTGAGGAGATTTACAAATGAAATACTTTGCATATTTCATTGATCGATGTTCCTTTTCATTTACCGATGCAAATTCTCGAACGATAATTTAATCTTCTATTCAGCTAATCATTTCACCGACTCTGGTTCTTCTGATTACTATTTCACAAGGAATAGCAGTTTATTTTATTTTTCCACACAACACAGAACAAGAAGAACCTGGAAGGAAGCCCAAAACAAACGTTCTTGGTCCAGGTACCAATGATCTGGAAAGAGCATGTACTCACTATCTCCTTCAATGTGTATCCTTATTTAACTCAATAAACGCATTTTCGTGTATTTGATTCTTCACACAAATAACATCCCATATTTTCCACATTGGATCATTGTAGAAAGCCAGAAAGACTGTCCAAAATAAACTTCAGTGTTGAGGTATTCATAATACGGCGCTGTTCCAATGCTTTGAAATATTGTGGTAAAGACCTTACGTGTTAAAGAGCATCAAAATAATATACAAGAAATAAATATCGAAATAGTATTTAGCAATTTTTCAACCTTATGTCAGTAATATTGTTCTGACTCCAACGAACAAACCATTTGCAACGAACACATTTCAAACAAGAAAGTTGGGTTGTGTTTCAGTACACTGTGGCGACATCTAATTCCAAAAGTCAAACCCACAAAAAGCATTAATATCAATTTTAGCCATGAAGAAGACTAGTCACAAAAATTTGAATATATATTGTAATATTCATGTACACAAAATATCAGAGTCAGTTCTTCATAATGACTAGTAAATACAAAAATGCTGGGTGAGTCAGTGTGATTACTAGGAATATAGTATAAGATCTGGAATTAGCAAAGAAATGGGCGTTCAAATTCATTTATATTGAATTTATATGAAAATTTTGATTTTTCGCGCTCGATTATGATGTTTGCCAACATTTGAAAAAACAATTTTTCTACTGGCTTGAAAAGAAATTATATTTCCAAACAGTATTTCTATGTCGAAATCTAGTAACAGATCAAAAAACTGTTCATGCGTACTAACCTCAAAATTAGAGACAAAAAAGTCAAGACATCCAGAAATAGGACTTCAAAGTCCGCGAAAGTCATTGAGAGTATTCAGAAGAATCAACATTTCATTACTGGGTAAAATGTTCATGAGTGAAAAACTACCTCAAGGGTCAAGGGTAGTCCCTGGTTGTGAAAAACGTTTGTTATGAACTACATTTACATCTAAGTTGTTGGAAAATTCAGGTTTGAATAGCTTCTTTTGTTACAGATATGAGATTTTTGGGAAGTATTTGATAATTAAGTAGTCGTTGAGTGATACGATTTTCAAAGAATCTGTATTCTTTAGCTGCTTGGTCTAGTTATCGAATCGCATGTCTTTGAAAGAAGTATTATCGATTTGTTTATCACAATATCATATGCCCCAGTTGCATATTGTTAGTAGGCCTATGAACCTTTTCTGCAGCAACGATGTATGTTTTCCTAAGGATTCACTGTTAAATTTATTATCTGGTTTCGATTAATATATAGTCGTTTCGACTAACATAAAAATAATACAGGTGCCCTATCGAGGTCAAGAAGACTGAAAGAAGAACCAACGAAAATGCCTGAATCTGAACCAGATAACAAAAGACGTTTCATGTGTATATTTCGTTGTGTGGTCTAATGCATCTAGTAACCTGGAAACTAAGAATACTATACAAATGAACAACAAACATGAGCGCACCTGAATAACAGTACCAGTCTTCCAGCCATCCTGATATTAATTTAGTTATTGGCTCACACATATAACCAATATAATTTATTATAATCAATTCCGCGATTATTATAAAATACGGCATTTGTATTACACATTGCATGGAACGAGGCATGGAATACAAGAAATATTTCAATTTATGTCTCGCTGTCTTGAATGGGAAAGGAGAGAAACAACGGCATTTGCAGCATGCATTGTTAATGCGAGATAATGAATAATATTAATTATCGCATTCCTTAATGGAACTTTGCTGGCTGAAGAGTTTTATGTAATCATATCGTGGGGGGATTTGTATGTGAATTGTTCATTGTACCGGCCGAGTCTGAATAATTAGCATGTGAACTATTTGCCGTGAATTCTGTTCTCATATCTTCATTCAGTTTGTACAATTTGCATCACAATTTAATTGGATCTCTGTCAGATGTACTGAATGAAAGAATATCATCTGAAATGGAGAAGGACAACAAATATTTATAAGATTTCTATACATACAAATCCTTATCAATCGTACAGTCCTATCAACTAAATAAAATAATTATAAATGGTTTTTAATGGCAGAAGAGGAGCAAGTGAATGACCTCCTAGATCAACGGTTTCATCCACTTGGACCAATTATTTGAGGGATATCCTCAATTTGTTGTTTATAAAACACAACCTGCTGATATGATGATATTAAAGGCGAATTACAGTTGTATCCCAGTCAATTTCCCAAGTGAATTTTTCATAAACTCCAGAGTTAAGTACAAACCGAACTTCATTACCGTTCAGAGCACACTGGCAACGTAGTTTATAACATGAGTAAGTAGATCCCATGTTTTATTCTCAGATTTTTTTGTGTAAACTGAAAGAAATAACAAAAACAACATATTTCCTAAACGGTGTAACGCAGTATAATATTTTTCGTTTGGATATTAGCCTGAAAACCATTACTTTCATTACAAGTAGTTGTACTTGTTTCTGTGACGCGATTCTTTGTAAACTACCGATCAAAAAAATAAAACAAATAATAATTCTGAAAAAATACTTGTAAGCCCTCCTAAATGACTAGCAAGTTGATCTCTTTTGCATTTAAGAATCTATCCTTTGTATGGAATTGAACCCCAAGAGGGCTAGCAGAGTGTGGCTCTGCCAAACTCTGAAAACCTGATTCGGTTCGCATGGGGCAGGCACAAAGTATATGCTCTGCTGTTTCCTCATTTTCCAAACAGAGGCGACACACACTGTCTTCCGACATTCACAGTCTCTGCATATGCTGATTCAGACGACAGTGACCTGTGAGGAAGCCTGTTAGACATCGTAGTTCATCCCTACTGTAGTCTAATAACTGTTTGGTTTCAAGCTTTGAAAGGTGAATGAACGCCTTGGAGTCAGCCCCTGGAATATTTTGCCAGAAGTCCTTAAATTTTCTTGCCATCCAGGTGTTCAATATTTGCTTGGCAAAAACCTAAAGTGATGCCTCATTGTCTTCCAGGCGAGTGGGGCCAGGAATCCAGATCACAAAAAATTTGTTAAGTCTTCCTATTGCGGAGAGTCGTTTTTGGCAATTTGCTACCAATTTAGACTTTGCTCGGTAGGAGTCAAGGGCTTCCAATGCCACTTGACTGTCCCAGAATATTTTTATTGACTTGTGTATGAAGTTGGATTGTACCAATCTCTCCGCACACAATTCAATAGCACAGATTTCCGCTTTCAGTCTGCAACTGAAAACACCTGCACCAGAGCCTAAAGGCATTTTTGATCCATCTGTGAACATAATACTGACAGTAGTACTATAAAATGATGTTTCTTCATCATAAAATAGACAATACATTAAAAAAAAGTTTTTTATGATACCACTAAAGAAACGTGTAGACGTAGAGCTATACTTTGAAATTTATAATAACGATGAGAAATATTAGTATCTCTGTCTCTCTCTATCTTTCTCTCTCTATCTCTCTCTCTCTCTCACACACACACACACACACACACACACCAAACAAAATAAGGAAACGAACATTACTGTCACATAAGTCACCTCTCACTAGTTTTTGAATCACTCTATACAAACTTGAATAACCGGATTATGTCAGAAACCAAAAAGTTTTCAAGTGTCACACATTGTTCTATAGTCGGCGGTTATGTCATTGATCGATTTTCCTCAGATCGGGATTTACTGTTACAACGAATTATTTATTTGCGTTTCGAACGTATAACGTGTTGCTGTACCATTTATTCATAATCTCGGACGTTTCCACGTCGTTACTTACGATGGTTTATGAAAACGGGAAAGCAACATTGTTGAACGTAACCGAAAGAAAAATATACAGTAATAATACAAATCACCATTCATTATTTCTGTTAGATTTCTGAATATTTATGGAATAATATTTGAAAAGTATATATTTCACTTCGACTGGTTCAGAAGAAGAAACTCTAATCATGGATTTTCAATTGAAAAAAATTGTGTCAGAAGTATTAGGCCGGATATAAAGATGGTGGTTATTATGTAAAAATAAAATTATGGCCGAAAGTACCAATCTTGTGAAGCTAAAGTTTGGAAAGTGGAAAATGAAGTGGAAAATGAATGCTTCCGTAAATTTGTAAACATGGTTTAACTTGTCATCATTATAAGATACACCTTCACCTGTATAAAGTTTCCCATAACATTTTTTTTTCAGACTGTGAAAGGTGGAGATACCCTAAAACATCGATATAAAAGTAATTTCCTAGACAAATAATAATTTTCGTTCAAGATACAATAATTTCATTTGAAATGTCTCAGTACCATCAATATAAAAGTCAAATTCCAAATAGCTTGAAAATTCAGACACGAAAAATTTGTGAGTGATATGGGAATTGCGTTTGCTCGCAAGAAGGAAAAATCAGTATTGTGAGGATGTTCCTGTCGACTATGTGACAATTGGCGTCTAGAGACAAAACATCCGATTTGAGCTTTATACATTATTGGTGATACTTTAGACCAAAGAAGATATATTCATTGCAATGTTATTGAAAGTGATTGCTTTTATCAATATTTCGAGTGAAATTGAAAGGAAAACAGATATTGCTGTTGGTTAGAAGTTTGAGTTCAACCTATGCCCAAAACGGGCAAGAAAAATCTTCCAAATAACTATAGATGTTGGTTTATCATCAGTGATATCAAAATTTATGAAGGGAACTGTTTAATCAGCCCATTCTTCATTCTTTGGAAGCTTCAATTTTTTACGGAAGATCAATAAGCGACTTTCTTATATATGTCTCTCACCTTTGGATTTATCAAATTTCAATTAATCGGGGTTTCATATTTCGATTGGGATGTCAAATAAAAATTAAAACTGGAATCTGGCGTAGAATACATCCAAAACAAGAACTTTCCCCAAACACCAGAACTGCAATACTCTTCTTATCGTGCGTCTCACCAACCAAGTTGGCCTCTCCTGAAGAGTGCTTGTCTTGGGGGGATCTACTACAACACAAGACGGGCTCAAAGTGAGAAAATGTCCGCATAGTGAAACTTCGGCATTGGATACTCTCAAAACGTTGAAAATATTCAAGGTAAGCATAGAAGTAAATTCAACATTTCAATTGGGGGTGGAAATTTCAATTGGGGTATTAAAGACTACCAGGGAGTCTACTACTATGAAAAGAGACGAGCTCGATGTGAGAATATAGGTACGTACCGGAACAATTTTTTACAAATTTGTTAATTTTTTTTCCCAGGTAGGAAAATTCTGGTATCAAACGTTACATTCTCAAACTTGAAATCGAAGTTTAGAGCCTAAACGGTTGTCTTTAATCACTTTGTCCCATTCCAAGTGACGAAGATTATGCTGATATAAACAAGAAAATTGAAAGTGAAATCTTCAAATAGCTCACCAACACTCAAGTTTGTTAAAAAATGCCTACAGTAAATTCTCTCTGCGTGTCAAGGATATATCGAAGCGCAAAATAAAAATAATAATGTCGCGATTGTCGCTCTTCGTGAGAAAAATTTGACGCTCCATCGCCGAATTACAATGACTGTTATTCGCACAAAACGAGACACGGACATTGTTAGCGCACCTACAGTGCGTCCCCAGCAATATCGATATTTGTATTTTACTTTGATAAACGACCTGACGTGTGGTGGCAATTTTTCTCAGCGAAATTACCGACATAGGCGCGACCAAAATGAATTTATTCCAAGGTCGACTTCAGTCATCCTGTATATAATTATATAGTACCTACTGAGCTAATTCTGATATGACCAGGGAATATTTCTTGATTTTGCAGATTGCTTTCAACACTTCTGATACCTATCTAAATACAACTAAAACTATAACCCTATAATTCCAGCTAGGTGACAATTCTTCAAACAACTTTGCCAATGAAATGGCTACCGGTCATAGGTTACATATACGTGTGGTGGTTTGAAAAGATGATTATAAAGCCTACAAAAAGCTTCGAGTCTTCATAGTATAGAACATGGAAATACGGAACTGGACACCTTTTCGTAGTACCTCAACAGTGTGAAACCTTACCCAACATTCACAATGGAGAAAGAAGCCCAAAATAAATTGCCTAAACAAGATGCATAGAATATTCCTGGTGTGAACACTTGGATCCCTTCCTTATGTAAAATATATTGTCAAAAATTCTGACCTACGCACTCTTGTAGATAAAGAAATAATAAAGAGATACTATAAATTCCTGCCTCCCATCCAAAGACATGCTGAGAACACTTGAAAGTAACTCTGGTTGACAATGTCAAATTGGTACTTCAATTTCCAATGGTATATACATTTGGGAATGAATTGATATTGAGTGAAAAATTTTCTACATTATGGTCCATAAATTAAAGATTTCGATTCTTGCTCCATATCAACATGTATACAAAGTTGGGTTATTTCTCGTGTCGGGAGAATATGTTAAAACACCAGGGTTTCTATACATTTTTTGTCTAAAGCAACACATACGGGTTAGTATCTGATTTACGAGTCCAACCACCACCAATCAACCAAGAGAGGAATCGTCAAGACCTTAATTGATCGTGCATTCAGGTTCTGCAACACGAAGATGAGGAATTAGGCTTCATCAAGAAAGATTTGCGACAGAACCATTACTCCAAAAATCTCGTGGAACAGAATTTGGTTAGAAGACAACAAGAGCACTGAAAAGAAGCCGTCACAGCCATTGATTTCCTTTCCTTAAGATAGAGAACTGTTGAGAAAGCACAACATAAGAAACCTGCTTCAAATCAGATGACACCATTCGTAGTAGTTTTACAAAAAAACAAGCTACCAAACGCAGACAGAGACTCCAAGAATGTATATAGCGGATACCATATATCGGTGAAACTAAGAGTGAGTTGAAAGTCCAAATTGGCGGGCAGAAAACACCCAGGAGAAACCAGAAAACAGCAGAGCAGGATGTGGGAACAGCAGAGCGAGAGTGGAAAGCCCCCAAGTGACCTATAACTAGTCTCGAAGTATCAGAAATATATCAGTTTTCACCAGAAGACGATTGTGGAAAATAACAATCGAAACGACTCTTCAACATATTTATTATTTCATTTCCATTTGAGGTCATCTTGAGTGACAAACTGGAAATTGAATTCTTTACTCATTGTTTATTTCAACTCTTTCTTTTTCGTGAGTGATATATTACCACTAATCCGGAATATTGATATCACTAAAGTTATGTTTCATACAATAAGTAAGACTTACCTCGACTAGCGTGATGGTGATTATAAAAATTGGAGGAGGGCAGCAAGTGTAATGGTCGGCATAGTATTTTCTATCTCTATCGTCGGTGAGAAATTCGTCTGCAACTATTGTGACCATCCTGCAACAACAATAAGTATTTCTTTGACCAAATTTTCCATTTAACCTAAAATATTTATAAAACAAGATGAAATTTATCAGTCGGAAATAAAAAACGAACTATTCGAATTTGAACCTGAATGTAATACAGTAGAAGGTTGAAATTCGTAAAAAAACCTAAACCTGCGTTTTTCGATTGTCAAAAATTTTACAGATAACAACGAGGCATTTTTAATTTCCCAGAGTTTCCTATCCGGTATCTTTACAGTGTCGAATCAAGATCATGTGACAGTTTTTCGTTATTTATAAAATGCCTGTCGGCGAACTTGCGACAAAATTCGAGTAGTTATATGCAGAACGGAAACAATTGAAAAAAGTACAAAAATTCGAATACCGCCAGTTGACATCGTATACAGAAATAGAACCAGACGACATTCAGAAGCGTCTGACTGGACGATTTTCTTTATTTCACACGAGAAGGGGCATCAAAGCAAATGAAATCGTCTAAATAGGTTTGATATAAGTAAACATTGATGAATCGCAATGATGATTCGGAAAAGGTCTCAAATCTATAATATTCCAAAATTTCGGTTTTTTGATATTTTAGAGAAAGTATCATACACCTACTACTATATGAAGTATCCGCAGTTCAATTCTAATATTTTGATTGACACTTATAATTTTCTGGAATCAACTCACCTTTGGAGATGACGATTAATTTTTTTACATGGGTTATTCCTTCGAAATTCACAATTTCTGACTAGATGTAATTTTCTAACCTTTGATTGGCACATTATCACTCGCTCTTATTTAAAAATACTCTTATTGGCATTTTTCTCCAGTCAAAATAGGTAGAAGACTGAGGTGAATTCACAATTATTCGCATAGACTTAAACATTAGTACAAACTCAAGTGCACTATTACAAATCAAATATTTAAAGCCTCACCGTTCCTACCTTCGCTAAAAAATGTATTCAAGGTCAAAAGTATCGATTCATTGAAATTTTCTGGTACGGAAAAACTGTAAAACATGTAATTATTTACAAGAACTGATCCTATTGTTTTTTCTTATGTATCGTCATTCCTGGGATACTACCTACCATATAAAACATCGAAAATAATATGTATATGTCTACACCGCACAAAAGTACACTCCAAATGAAAAATTACACTAAAAAATTCCACACTTGTCTTCGGGGTAGAATTACAAAATAATATTCCGCATGGAATGTGAGATCACACACGAAAGTAATTTCTCGCTAATATGGGCGGTAATTAAATTGCCACCGGTACCGGTGGAAAAATTTTTACCAGTGTGATGATGACGATGATGAAATCATAATTGAAACAACAATAGAATAATTCAGGACAACAGTACAACTATAGTTGCAGAAGATGTTTATTTACTAATACTTCCAACTGCATGAATTGAGGGTCGGTAATAAACTAAAACATATTCATCGAAATGTTTTCCTGCTTATCCAAAATGTGAAACCATCTTATTTTCGTATCTCAGGAATAATAATTATTGGGAAAAAAGCACAGAACAATTTTTATAGAGATTGTCAAATCTAGGAAGAGACTTGACCATATCAAAATGCAAAAAACTCTTCCCACATTTTATAAGCTATAGAAAAATGCATGATTTATATTTTTTACCAAAGTTATTTTCATTATAACTCTTACCGTTCACCAGAACAATTTAAAAAAACATCATTTTTTACCTTTGACCTTGCCTAATTTATATGCCTATTTTGACCGGACTATTGATTCTAATTTGATGAAATATACAGGAATTGGTGCAAAAACTCAAGATTATTGGAAAAGTGGCCGGTTGCTAAACCTTTTTCCACGATATAGATTTACACAAAATTCCCACAATGTCTTATGCACCGAAACAGGTTGATTACCGCTATCGAACTGCTATATAATCTAATATGAATGATACAAGTATGTCAACTTCAAACTACTTGATTAAACAATGCAAAAATAGAAATTACGCTTAATGAAATTATAGGTATTGTCTTTTCATTCGAATTACTTTTTCCGCAGGCTTATATAGTTTGGTGATTCACCCTCATTGTGTTTCAATCATACTTCGAAATATACAAAAAAGGTTACGTCACACCTATGCTCAATCCCTAAAGAGATGGGAGGACATCAAAGGATGCAATTTTGCCAGAATCACCGTGGGCGACCATGGGAAGCTGGCGCAGGAGAAATATCTGGCGATGAACAGGAAAAATCTACGCTTAAAAGTAGGATTTCTGACTGGCCACTGTCAACTAGGTAAACACCTCCACAATATGGGGCTAGTGGACACACTTCTGTGCAGTGGTGTGAACAGGAAGATGAAACTGTCAGGCATGGCCTATACACCTGCCGATATAAAGGATATGTCTCCCAGATACCTGTCCATCTTCCTGGAAAGAACAGGATGGACGATGACCTAGGAGGACAACTCTTTGGGAGGATGTATAATGGGTCATCCTCCCTACTCTACAGATACAGATACAAAAAAGGTTGAAATCCTGAAACTATCTAGAAATTATATTCACCTGCGGAACAAAGGCGGCTCAGCCAAAAGAAGATGGAAGTCGTTTTCTGACGAAACTTCTCGGTCTCGGTGATGGACGGCACATTTAAAGCTTCTGGATCGTTTTCCTGTCATCTGCAATGAATAAGAATTCTGTAAGTGACTGCCATATGTACACATAATTATTATATTCATATATTTTCAACAGTTGACATACAAAAAAGTAATGTGAATACGAGGGATGTTCAACAACTAGTAATAAAAACGTTCAACAAAACACTTGTCTAGTTATTCTTTATCGTGGTCCGCGATAAAAATGAAACTTCAACCTGTGTACCAGAACAAAAAATGTTATCGTTTTTCCATTGCAAAAACTTCTTTGATAATTGATTTTGATTTTGTCTATATTTTAAATATTTAAAATTGAACAATGTTTAATCAGTAGATAATTGAAATTGCCATTGCTAATAGTCTTTACATTCACAAATGTTTCTAAGAAAAAGTTTTTCATGAAAACTGTTGAATTATTACATCATTCAAAATATAATCAAAACTTAAACACATTTAATTCTTCTACATTTCTTTAGGTATAGGAACAGTTCCTTCTGGCCATAATTTTCAATGAACAGACTTTTTGAAAATAATGACAATATAACAGTTCATAAACAAAAAATTCTATTGGATCATACCTGAGAGTTACTCTACTTCAAGTTCAATTATTGTGGTGTGGCCGGATAAACGAGTTTTTGAAGAATTTTTCGCTGCGCGCACTTAATAAGGATAATAATTGGACATGCGATGGGTTCGGGTTAAATATATGTGTTCGGAGTCTAAGCACCTGCCACTTCGGTGATTAAAACTGAACGTTGCGAACAGAACCGTTGTTGGTACTGAATTTTTAAATCGAAAAGAAAAACAGAAAGGCACCCTCGATCCTCAATGAAACAGTATTTCGTTAATAAGTTACATCGTGAACTCATCACATTGCTTCCGTCGAAATCGGTAGAAGAAACTAAATAACAAATGACGTAGGCAATTATTCATTTCTGTATACCACTTGTTTATAAAAGTATTTAAATAATTTTACATATTCCTTCTATTATTATTATTGAAGTGAAACATATATAGCCGCACGTAATACCATTGCTGGCGTAGTGACTGATGCCGTGGCCATGGATCGCCACGCGCAAGCGACTGTGCGATTATCTTCCCACTGGTTCGGCGTTACGCTATCTTGCCACACTGAGCTTGGATACCTAGAGTGTATACAGTTGTGTTTACCTCCTACAGTATACATAACCTGTGTTTTATACTAAATAAATATGTTTGTAAAATAATTTAGAAAGTGAGCAGCCTCCTGCAAAGAAAGCAAAATCACACAAGGGCACACTATCAAGGCATTATAAGTTACAAGGCACTATCAACTTAATTATATTTTTATATTTCATAATTAAAGTGTGCATGTATGTATGTATTAAGCCTGCGTATAAAGTTCATTTAATGTAAAATTCGTCTATTTTATGATGATGTTTGAGAAGTTTAAAATAGGGACCTATTTTCTCAACTTCAAAGGTTTCATATAATTGCGTATTTTTATGGTTGTAATCTCTGGGTGAATAATAAACTTATATTGTATGTTATAAATTCACGCTACTACCTAATTCCCTAAACATTCTGTTATCAAACGATAATTTCATTACGAAACCATTCCAAATCTAAAATAGATATAAAGAATGACATCGTTAATGAAATATATGAAACAGTCTTTTTCGACGTTGAATATATTTTGGTTTTTCAACAAATAGACATAAATACATAATGAATAATCTCGTAGGAGTATTTATTTTGGTCAAACAGGTGTGAAAGATTCTTCAAAAGAACAAAATAATATGAACAAGCTTCTCAGCTTTCAAGTAGGTAGTACAAGAAACATCGCCAAGCATGATCGTACCTTCTGAGGTTATGTTTTACATTTATTAGATTTATTTTTCAACATTTGAATATCTTAATGATTCAGAGTAATGACTCTTACATTTTCTCACTCATTTTACAAAATGTTATCAGATTTTTTGCGTAGTGTGACTCCCAAAACTTGTCCCGTAAATTTCACCTCAAGACGGCTCTGATCTGGTGAAGCATCTGTATATCTAGACGAACGCGTGCTCTGCCACCGCCAAACATGGAACGGGCACTAACCTAAGATTATACGCTTTCCCGAATCTTCGATTTTTGAATATGCCAAATAGACGGGGATGTTTTGCTTTGTCTGGAAATCTTATCATGCGTGGATAAACAAAAAAGTGTGGTGATCGTTAGATGACTATTCATTAAAATATATACCTACTAAACGTTGATAGTAACAACTATATGATATGAAAGAATGATGTCGGTTCAAATGAGATCAATTTGACTCAAGCAATTTAGTCATTTGATATTAACATAAAAAATGAGGTACCTTTTGAAAGTCATTTCCTTATTCGAAGAAACATGAAACGAGGTAGCAACATTGTTAAAAAATAGCAAAGACATAGGAATACACTCAACAAAGATTCGCAAAGGAAATACCGACACAATATAAGAAGAATCATTATTTCTGACTTAGATATTTATTAGGGATATTCCATTATAAAATCTATTCAACCACACAATTATTACAGATGAAATAAGCAGTGGCTAAGTAGGTCCAAAGTGAGTGGGTTTATTCGACCCTCCACAGCAACTCACGAAGATTTATTGTGGCTCACATTCATTCAAACTCAACCAAATAAGCCCAGCTTCATATCGAAGCAGATTACTTATTGCCGATTATGTATAAGCATTTATCATCACGTTAATGTTTGATTTATTTTGTCATGCGCTTGACAGTTGGAGGCATTAGGATGGAAGTCATTCCCAGAATGCTGAGACTTTCAGTGTCTACCAATAGTCTCTACGCTGCGCATAAACCTATTTTGTACACCTATGCAGTTCTGTATGTTGTCCATCTAGTCTCTCCAGATATATCTGGAGGGAGGTCCAGAAGTATATCCATGGCCTCTGACGATGTGGTGTTGATGGCATCGGAAGTAGCAAGGCAAATCTGTCTCGGTATATCAGAAAGCTTTTTTGTTTGTGGGTCTAACAAAATCATCACATATATCCATTGGATTTGTTTGAACTCTGAGCCCCAACATATTCCACAAATCCTTTGACACGCTATCGTAAAAAAAGGGTCTCTCAACAAGCTGTTATGTTGAGTTCCTGAAACAATACGACAGTTTCGACATTTGAGTGGCTGTATCTCCGAAAGTACACCGAAGTGCTATGTGTTACTTCGGATTCGTGACTACCGGACAAAAATACGTCAATCTATTTGAAATTTTTTTCAAAACCAGCGCGAGCCGTTATTACAATATGATCATTCCCCTACGCCCCCGGACGATTCCCCACTGGCCGGCTAACGAGACCGAATTCGAGCGCCGGCAAGGAGACCCTGCGAGCGGTTTGGCGGCTGCAGAAGAAGCAGCAGCAAAAGTAGCAGCAGCGAGATACGCAGCGCGATCTCGGCGGTCCATAGGACCACTTAAAGGGCCGCTCCACTCATAATTTATTTCGATTAGATCGGAATGCGAGAAGATTACGATACACGCCCTCTCGCTAACTAAATTAAAACCATGTAAATGAACGAGCAGGATTAATTAAATATCGACCACGACCTCTCTCTCGGCCGTACCTCCTCGCCCGAGATGTGTGGTGATGGCCACCCCATGACGACGGTGACCGCGACTTTCTCGGTAATTGGAATTTGCTATCTAACGAGATTACATACCTTTATGAATATAGCGCGCTTGAGTTGTGCGAAAAATTCATACGAAATCTATAACTCCGAGTTTGAGGGCCGACGCACAGACCTAGATGAACAATATTTTTCAATATTTCTAGAAATTACCCCTCTTATGGATTTTTTTGTGAAAAATCAAATTGGACAAATAATGTGAATTATGTGGCCACTGTATTTTTGGTACTTTCCATCTCGATCGAAGCCGAAACCGAATCCAAATATCTGCTGAAGCTACTAATAAAAACAAATCGCATTTGATACGCCCTTTATAGTGTTCACCCTGTATACAAGGTGTGATAATGAAAACTAAACAAGGGCAATTTCTCATTGTAATTGTGCAATTTCTCATTGTAATTGTGCAATTTATGGTTAGCACAGTGTGCTCTACTTGTTTCTTCACAACGTAGGACTTGGATTTCGATGATTTCAATAAAAAAAATAATAAAAAAAATAGTTTTCGACATGCTTCGTCAAAAACATAATTGATGAATAATTTACAAAGTCTCTATTACTGTATGGAAGCCGGAGAATACCATTTTCTACACTTGTTGAAGTAAAAAAATATTAAGGGTCAAAAAATCGACAAATATTGATAAACTGAATTGTAAACCAAACAAAAAGATAGTTAAAAACGAGAGTGTTGGAACATATAAGAGATGTATAAAATATAATAAGTCATATGTTTGATTTAAAGAATGCGACACTCTTGGGGATCTATAACGATATTTGTCGAAGACTTATTAGCAAAATGACCTACATTTTCAAATATGACTGCTTTAACACAAGGTCTCAAAATAACATATTTCAAATAAGTCAGGAGAACATAGAAATCGAGTCGAGTTCTCACAGCAAAAATAGCACGTTTTGTGGAAGGTCAAGTCGAAATTTGAATTTCACGACGACTTCCATTAGATGACATAATTTCAACAATGTATTCAGTACAATACAAAACGTACTCAGGGAAGTTTACCATACAATAGATCTGCTAAACTGAATTGACAACACTAATTGCTGGGAAGTACGTTACATTAATATTTCCCGATTCTATGATAAATCGGTCTCACAATAAAAAGCACCGACATTCAAGAACAAAGCACGATTTCACAAAAAATCCCTTCGAAACAATTAATAACCATTTGACAAAAGAAAAGACTCATTCCTTTACCGCATCCAATGGACTGATTCGTCAACTGATGCAATAATTGAAAATCTGATCGACGTGAAATTGCTTGTCATTAACGCTGTCATAAATATAAAACTAAATGGAAATGTTGAAGTTGTATTAAATAACAGAGAAAATTTTGATTGTTGTGGG